ATCCACTCACCTCAGCCTCCCAAAGGCGTGGGATTACAGGCTGAGCCACCGAGCCCGGCTTATTTTTATTTTTTAATAGAGACGCGGTCTTGCTATATTGCCCAGGCTGGTTCAAATTCCTGGTCTCAAGCAACCCTCCTGCCTCAGTCTCCCAAAGTGCTAGGGTGACAGGCATGAGCTACTACACCCAGCCTCTTTTTCTTTAGGAATGGAGAAGGTGTGTTTCCCTTTGGCTGCGTGTTGTCATTGTGACTGAAATAGATTATCTGACCCATTTTCTTTCCTGTCTGTTTCTCTTCAGATGTGTGACAGCGTTGAAGAGGGCGTGGATGGAGATACTGTGAACATGTTCGTGGTTCACCCCACCACTCCTGCACAATATTTCCACTTGCTTAGAAGACAAATGGTCCGGAACTTCAGAAAGCCCCTCATCGTCGCCTCTCCCAAGATGCTACTCCGGTTCCCGGTGAGTAGATGAAGCTTGCTGACCAGCCCTTTTCTCCTTTTCATTCCTGATTCGCTAGTCCCCATATCTAATTCTCCTTAAATGACAGAAGCATCTTTTTAGGTTTTTTTTGTTTTTTGTTTTTGAGTTGGAGTCTCATTCTGTCACCCAGACTGGAGTGCAGTGGCTGCTCCCGGCCACTGTAGCCTTGACCTGCTGGGCTCCAGCGATCCTTCCACCTCAGCCTTCCAAGTAGCTGGAACTACAGGTGTGTGCTACCACGTCCAGCTAGTTTTTGATTTATTGTAGAGATGAGGTCTCGCCAAGTTGCCCAGGCGGGTCTCAAACCCGCGGGCTCAGCAATCCACTCGCCTCAGCCTCCCAAAGCGGGATTACAGGCTGAGCCACCGAGCCCGGCTTGCTTCTTTCATTTTAAAAAAAAAACCTTTTGAGACTGCCTAGAAACATGGGTAGCTTTTTGTTTCAGTGATAATGAAGGATGAGTGTGGCAGATATTATCAGATGGTATCCTAGCCTGAGCGGACTTAGAGGCAGTCTTCAAGTCCAAATGGTCTAAGCATTACTATATTGGTGGCAGCAAATTGGCGGCCAGGTGTGATCCCAGCACTTTGGGAGACCAAGGCAGGAGGATCGTTAGAGCCCAGGAGTTCGAGATCAGTCTGGGCAGCATAGCAAGTCCTTGTCTCTACAATAAATCAAAAAATTAGCCGGGCATGGTGGTGTGTGCCTGTAGTCCCAGCTCCTTGGGGAGGCTTCCTGAACCCAGGAGGTTGAGGCTGCAGTGAGCCATGATATGTCACTGCATTCCAGCCTGGGTGACAGAGTAAGAGCCCAATTCAAATAAATAAATAAATAAAAATAAAAGTAGTAGCAAGGTAGAAATTCAAAGTATTTTGATGAAAATGAATGGTATTATTTGCCATTCTGTATTAAGATATTTTTCTACTAAATGATTTACCACAGATAGACTTCTATTTCATTAAGCATAAATTGTAACAATATAGCTTGTGGCTACGGTTCTTTATTTTTTAATTTAATTTAATTTTTTTTTTTTTTTTTGAGTTGGAGCTCACTCTGTGACCCAGGCTGGACTGCAGTGACATGTCCTGGGCACCGCAGCCTTGACCTGCAGGGCTCAGGTGGTGATCCTTCCACCTCAGCCTTCCAAGTAGCTGGAACCACAAGTGCGCACCACCACACCTGGCTAATTTTTTTTTTTTAATTTATTGTAGAGACGAGGGCTTGCAATGTTGCTCAGGTTGGTCTCAGACCCCTGAGTTCAGGCAGTCCTCTCACCTCGGCTTCCCAAAGTGCTGGGATTACAGGCATTAGCCACTGCACCCAGCTTAAAATATGTTTAATCTTTTTTTTTTTTAAATCAGAGTCTCACTCTGTTGCCCAGACTGGAATACAGTGGCACACTCATAGCCACTACAGCCTCAAACTGCTGGGCTCAGGCCATCCTTCTGCCTCAGCCTTCCAAGTAGATGGAACTGCAAGCATACACCACCATGCCCAGCTAACTTTTGACTTACTGTAAAGACAAGGTCTCACCAAGTTGCCCAAGGTGGTCTTGAACTCCTGGGCGCAGGCAATCCTCTTACTTCCACCTCTCAAAGTGCTGGGATCACATTACAGTCCTTTAAAAGGATGCATGTCCTCTTGGTTTACCTGTGTAAATGTTAAGTGCCCAGTGTATTTTCAAATCACAAAAATATGCTTGTTTCCAGATGGAACTGTTTAAGAGGATAAATACCACTGTGCCTACATTTATCCCATCTGCTATATTTTTAAAACTTTCGTGTGAAAGTTTTAATTAGGATTAGCATTCTATTCTATTCTATTTTATTTATTTATTTATTTTTTGAGCTGGACTCTCACTCTGTCACCCAGGCTGGAGTACAGTGGCACGCTTGCTCATGGCTACCACAGCCTCTGCCTGCCGGGCTCAGGCGATCCTCCCACTTCAACTTTTCAAGTAGCTGGAACCACAGGCACGCGCCACCATGGCCAGCTAATTTTTTGATTTATTGTAGAGATGTGGTCTTGCCAAGTTGCCCGGGCTGGTCTCGAACCCGTGGACTCAGACAATCCTCTCACCTCAGCCTCCCAAAGTGCTGGGATTATACTAAAGTGCTGGAATTATAGCCGTGAGTCACCACGCCTGGCTAGAATTAGCATTTTAAAGTCTGCATCTATTTGGCTGCCGCTACTGAGGTGAAACAAGACTTTTAGAATTGGGCGGTGCATGGATATCTTGTGCTGTTCCCCAAGATCTGAGAGTGTGTATTTGGAGGGAAGAAAGAAGGTGTTCATTGTCAGGGTCAGTAGTTTCTTTATTTTATTTTATTTTTTTTAGAGACGAGGTCTCACTGTGTGGCCCAGGCTGTTCTTGAATTCAAGCCATCCTCCTGCTCGCGCCTCCCAAAGTGCTGGGATTACAGGCATGAGCTTCTGTCCCCGGCTTGAAATTTTGATTCTTAAAATTTTATTGTGGCACCAGACAAAAAGCCAGTCGTATGAAACCTCAGAAACATAATTTTTTTTTTTGAGTCGGAGTCTCACTCTGTCGCCCAGGCTGAAGTGCAGTGGCATGCTCACGACCACTGCAGCCTCGACCTGCTGGGCTCAGGTTATCCATCCACCTCAGCCTTCCAAGTAGCTGGAACCACAGGCGTGTGCCACCACGCCTGGCTAATTTTTTGATTTATTGTAGAGACGAGGTCTCGCCAAGTTGCCCAGGCTAGTCTCGAACCCCTGAGCTCAGGCAGTCCTCTCACCTCCACCTCCCAAAGTGCTAGGATTACAGGTGTGAGCCACTATGCCGGGCTAGAAACATAATTTTACTCTGAAGAATAAGAGCTGGTATTTTCTGGCAAGACTGTGTTTATTAGTGCGTGTGTTTCCTTACAGTGTTGGGCAAGAATTTTCCCACTCTCCTTTTCTCAGTGCTAACCCTCTATGAGTGAAAGCTTTAGCTCTTTTCCACTGGGTGCTGAATGTCTAGCTGTTTTTCCTCTCAGGCAGCCGTGTCAACTCTTCAAGAAATGGCTCCAGGAACAACATTCAAACCGGTCATTGGTGATTCATCTGTGGATCCAAAAAAGTAATTTGATGTGTATTTCTGTTTTCATACTCGGTGGTAGAAGTTTCAGTAGTGAGAAAAGAATTTCACATTAAGGAATCTCAGTGAGGAAGTCTCCTCAAACCTCATGTCTTAGGAGGACCCCCCAGAAACCCCTTAAAAACAGAATGTATTTCTAAAAATCTGTGTATTTATCCTTATATGTTTAGACTTCAGTCACCTCCAGATGTCCTCTCTGTTGGATGTAATACACCTATCGAGATGCTTTTCCCACTGTTCAAAACTGTTTTTGAACTCGTCCATTTTGAGTTCTGCCATGTTTTGTTTCACCTCTTCCACATGGGCAAAACATTTCCCTTTGAGGACTTTTTCATTCAGGGAAATAAAATTTTTAAAAAGTCACTCGGGGTGAGATTGGATGAATAGGGAGGGTGGGATCATGCTGTTTTGGTCCAACACTGAACAGTCAGCATAGCATGGGCAGATTGTTCGTGTAAATTACCTGTCTTGAGTTGGGCAAATGCATTGAAAGAATCTCCAAAAAAAATCCACTGAAGCCAAACGCAGCCTTTCCCAAGAATGCCAGCTGGTCCACAGATGCCGACAGGCTCCTAGAACACTTATCTAGCAGAGGAAACCTGGACTACAAGGGCCTCACCCTCCAGAGGATAATTCTGGATTTTTTTGGGTCCCCCTATGATAACTCCGTGAAGTCCACACTGGAGGGTGAGCGTGTTGTAGAAGAGTGTCCTTTGCAGGTGTGTGATGCTGAGGGAAGATTCTGGTTCCCAGCATGTGGCTGGCCTTGAGGCTTCACTCGTGGGCGTTTAGGTCTGCCTCATCCCCTCGACTCCTGAACAGTTCTTGCTTTAAGAGATGCCACCCCCACCTCGTGACCCCTTTTCTCCCCCACAGTGTTAAGACCCTCGTGTTCTGCTCCGGCAAACATTTTTACGCCCTGATGAAGCAACGAGATACTCTGGGGACCAAGAAGCAAGACGTCGCTGTCATCCGAATAGAGGAGCTCTGCCCTTTCCCGCTGGACTCCTTACAACAAGAGATGGGCAAATACACACACGTGAGAGGTAAAGCATCGCTCTTTTTAGGGTTCCTTGGTGTTCAGATATCCAATCCAACTAATTTTCTCTTTGAGTCAGAGTCTCACTCTGTCACCCAGGCTGGAGCACAGTGGCACACTGCTCACGGCCACTGCAGCCTTGGCCTGCTGGCCTCAGGCAATCCTTCCGCCTCAGCCTTCCAAGTAGTTGGAGCCACAGGCACGTGCCACCACATCCGGCTACATTTTTTTTTTTGCTTATTGTAGAGACGAGGCCTCGCAATGTTGTTCAGGCTGGTCTCGAACCTCTGAGTTTAGGCAATCCTCTCGCCTCTGCCTCCTAAAGTGCTAGGATTACAGGTGTGAGCCACCACGCCCGTCAAAACTATTTTGTTTTTGTTTTTTGTTTTGAGTCATGGTCTCACTCTGTCACCCAGGCTGGAGTGCAGTGGCATACTCACGGCCACCACAGCCTCGACCTGCTGGGCTTAGGTGGTCCTTCCAACTCAGTCTTCCAAGTAGTTGGAACCATAGGCGTGCATCACTATACCCAGCTAATTTTTTTTTTTTTTTTAATTTATGGTAGAGACGAGGTTTCACCAAGTTGCCTGGGCTGGCCTTAAACCCCTGGGCTCAGGCAATCCTCTCACCTCCACCTCCCAAAGTGCTGGGATTACAGACATGAGCCACCATACCTGGCTCATTCAAACTATTTTAAATGAAAAGAGGTGATGGGGCTATGGGATTTCTTAGGAAATCGAATCTCATGGAATCCAAGGATATGACAAAAGTATGACTGGAGCCCAGGTTTTCATGTCTCGCTTGGTGTCCCTCTCAGTGCCTTATTCTCTCATCTAAGACCACTGATTTCTTTGTTTTGTTTTGATTTTGAGTCCTACTGTGTTGCCCAGGCTACAGCAGTAGCTCCATCATGTTTCACTGTAGCCTTCAACTCCTGGCCTAGATTCAGGTGGTCCTTCTGACTCAGCCTCCCAAATAACTGGGACTACAGGCGCTCTACCACACCTGGCAAATTTTCTTGCAGAGACGAGGTCTCGCTATGTTGCCTAGGCTGGTCTCAAACTCTTAGACTGTTGCAGTTCTTCCACTTCAGTCTCCCAAAGAGCTGGGATTACAGGCATGAACCACTATACCCCATCTAAAACCACTGATTTCTTGAGAGTTCCAGGGTTATCAGTGCTATACTATCATTTATGAGAAATATAATATAATTGTAATAGACAAGCCTTTTCAACAAATAGGGTTGGAATATTGGATGTTTATATGTACCCTATGTAGAAATTAACTCAAAATTGATTATAGACCTAAATGTGAAACATAAAACTATAAAACTTCTAGAAGAAAACAGGAGATAAGTTTTGTGACCTTGGATTAGGCAAAAAGTTCTTAGATGTAATACCAAAACACCTTCCAGAAAAGAAAGTTAGACTTTATCAAAATAAAAAAAGTTTTTGCATCGTGAGCAGCATTGTAAGCGGAGAAGCCACAAAGTGGAATAAAATATTTGCAAATACATATCTGACAAAGGACTGATTAGAATATTTAAAGAGCTCTTAATACACAGCAGTAAGCTGCAGTAAGCAAGACCACATATCTCCAAAAAATAAAAAAAATTATCCAAGCCTGGTAGTACAAACCTCTTTTGGTAGCTACTTGGGAGTCTGAGACCGATTTCTTGAGCCCAGGAGACAGAGGCTGCAGTGAGCCATGATTGTGCCACCGAATTCCCTCCAGGCGACAGAGAGAGACCCTATTTCTAAAACAAACAAACAAAACTCAGGAGTAAGAAAACAAATAATCCAATTTTTCAGTTTTTTCAAAATGTCCAAAAGCTTTGAACAGGCACTTCTCCGAAGAATCAGATGGCAAATAAACACATGAAAAGAATGTTGATATCATTAGTGTGATAAGGGAAATGACAATGAAGCCAACATGAGGCTAGGTGCAGTGGCTCACACCTTTAATCCCTGCACTTTGGGAGGCCGAGGTGGGAGGATTTCTTGAGCCCAGGAGTTCGAGACCAGCCTAGGCAACATAGCAAGACCTCATCTCTGCAAAGAAAAGAAAAATAACTAGCTGGGCCTGGTGGCACAGGCCTGTAGTCCCAACTACTTAGAAGGCTGAGGCAGAAGGATCACCTGAGCCGAGAAGGTTGAGGCTACAGTGATCCATGATTGTACCACTATATTCCAGCCGAGGTGACAGAGTGAGACCCTTGACTCAAAAATGAAAATAAAAATATTAAGCCAACATGAGGTATGGCTATACACCTGTTAGAATGGCTAAAATTAAAACCAAACCAAACAAACTGATGCTCTTACGTGCTCATAGGGGACAGAGCATCCAGCCTCACTCACTGCTGCCAACAGGACAGCCCCTCTGGAAAACACTCAGTTTCTTTTTCTTTTTTTGAGTTGGAGTCTCACTCTGTTGCCCAGGCTGGAGTGCAGTGGCATGCTCACAGCCATCCCAGCGTCGACCTGCTGGGCTCCGACAATCCTTCTGCCTCAGTCTTCCCAGTAGCCAGAACTACAGGTGAACACTACCATGCCTGGCTAATTTTTTATTTATTGTAGAGACGAGGTCTTGCCACATTGCCCAGGCTGGTCTTGAACCCCTGGGCTCAGGCATTCCTTCGCCTCTGCCTGCCAAAGTGCTGTGATGACAGGTATGAGCCACCGCACCCGGCCCGTTCTGTCCTTTTGTCATCAACTCACCCTTGCAACCTCACGGTGGCACACTCATGGCCACTGTAGCCCTGACCTGGTGGACTCAGGCGATCCTTCCACCTCAGCCTTCCAAGTAGCTGGAACTACAAGTACGTGCCACCGCAACTGACTAATATTTTGCTTATTGTAGAGACGAAGTCTTGCCAAGTTTCCCAGGCTGGTCTCGAACCCCTGGACTCAGGCAGTCCTTTCACCTCCGCCTCCCAAAGTGCTGGGATTACAAGCGTGAGCCACTGTGCCCGGCTCAGTTTCTTACAACATTAAACACTGAGTCACCAGGTGATGCAGCAGTCCTACTCCTGGGGATTTACCCAAGAGAAATGAAAACACATTCACAGAAAAATATGTATGTGAATGTCTGTAGCAGCATTATTCATAATAACCCAAACTGGACACAACCAAGGTGTCCTTAACTCAGCGAAGGAGTAAAGGCTCTGTGGCACTTCTATACAAGGTCGCACTCTTCAACAATAGGAAGGACGACTTTGGGCTACACACCGCAACATGGGTGGGCCACATATGCATTTGAGTCATTCAAGGAAGCCAAGCCCGGAAGTCTACAGATTGTACGATGCTACTTTTGTATAGGACATTTTGGAAAAGGCCAAACTGTGGGGACAGAGAAGAGATGAGTGGTTGCCTGAGGTTGCAAGGGTAAGTTGATGACAAATGGACAGCACAGGCTGGGTGCAGTGGCTCAGACCTGTCATCCGAGCACTTTGGTAGGCAGAGGCAAAGGATTGCCTGAGCCCAGGGGTTCAAAGACCAGCCTGGGCAATGTGGCAAGACCTTGTCTCTACAATAAAACAAAAAATTAGCCGGGCATGGTGGCGCATGCCTGTGGTTCCAGCTACTTGGAAGGCTGAGGCGGAAGGATCACCTGAGCCCAGAAGGTCGAGGCTACGGTGGCTGTGAGCATGCCACTGCTTTCCAGCCTGGGCAACATAGTGAGACTCTGATGAAAGAAACAAAAAAACAGACAGCAGGAAGAAGGGGCTTGCTAGAACTGTTCGGGATCATGGTTGTAGTGATAGATGCATGACTATGTGCTTTCAGGAAAAAAAGACAAGCAACATTGTGCCATATGGGAAAAACATTTTTTTTTTGAGTTGGAGTCTCACTCTGTCGCCCAGGCTGGAGTGCAGCGGCATGCTTACAGTCACCTCAGTATCGACCTGCTGAGCTCTGGCAATCCTGCCTCAACCTTCCAAGCAGCTGGAACTACAGGTGTGTGCTATCACACCAGGTTAATTTTTTTTTTAATTGTAGAGACAAGGTCTTGCCAAATTGCCCAGGCTGGTCTCGAACCTGCGGTCTCAGACAATCCACTCTCCTCGGCCTCCCAAAGTGCTGGGATCACAGGCTGAGCCACCGAGCCCAGCCAAAAAGCATTTATTTAACTGAGGTTGGATAAAGAGAGATATGTGAGGGGGAGCCCCAAAAAGCCAAGAATTTATTTATAAAAAATTGTGCATTTATTCTTACATGTTTTAATTTCAGTCACTTCCAAAGTACTCTCTGTTTGATGTGATATACCTATTGAGATGCTTTTTCCAGTCTTCAAAACTGTTTCTGAACCGTCCATTTTGATGCCTTTTAGTGCTTCTGCTGTTTTGTTTTGTTTTTTTTCACCTCTTCCACATCAGCAAAATGTTTCCCTTTGAGGACTTTTTTCATCTGGGGAAAAAAAAAGTCGCTTGGGGTGATCGGATGAATAGGGAGGGTAGGGTATGGGAGTCATGCTGTCTTTGGTCAAAAACTGCTGAACACTCAGCATGGTATGAGCAGGTGTACTCGTAAATCACCTATCATGAAATGGGCAAACGTGTTGAAAGAATCTCCAAAATACAAATCACTGAAGCTGAATGCAGCCTCTCACAACAGTGCTAGCTGGTACACTGATGCCAGTGGGCTTCTAGAACACATAGTTAGCAGGAGAAGCCTATACTCCACCGTCCAAAAGATAAATCCAGATTTTTTGGGTTTCCCCTCATATAGTTGTATATACAAGGGGTGGGGGAGGAGAGAGAGAGAAAGTGAGCTAGTGAGCGAGTGCTGTCTGTTGTAACACTGAAAAATCATAGATGAAGCCACTGCAGATTGGGGACCATCTGCATATGTTTACTTGAGGCGCTGAAATGAATTTCTTGTTTTGTAGATTTTATCTGGAGCCAGGAGGAACCTCAGAACATGGGTCCATGGTCTTTTGTCTCTCCAAGGTTTGAAAAGCAACTGGCCTGCAAGGTAGTATCTCCTTGTCTTTTGTAGTGTGTGTGTGTGTGTGTGTGTGTGTGTGTCTGTGTGTGTGTCTGTGTGTGTGTGTGTGCATGCATTTCATGGAGTGCCAACAAATGGATTTATCACCTATAACCAGTTCGATTCTTTAAAGATAAACTAAAATATAAAATCTAGTTTTAGGCGATTCATTATACCATAAATGCTTAGTGGTTTTCTTTGTTTGTTTGTGTTTTTGAGTAGGAGTTTCATTCTGTTACCCAGGCTAGAAGGCAGTGGCACGCTCACGGCCACCGTAGCCTCAACCTGCGGGGCTGAGGTGATCCTTCCGCCTCAGCTTTCCAAGTAGCCAGAAATACAGGCATGCGCCACCACGGCTGGCTAATTTTTTGATTTATCATAGAGATGAGATCTCGTCAAGTTGCCTAGGCTGGTCTTGAACCCCAAGGCTCAGGCACTGCCCTTGCCTCTACCTCCCAAAGTGCTGGAATTACTAGGCATGAGTTTCTGCACTTGCCATTTTTTCTTTTCTTTTCTTCTTTTTTTTTTTTTGACTGCATAATGACATTTAACCAAAATATTAATATCATGTTTTAAAAAAAGTGATCAGGTCAGGCACAGTGACTCAGGAGGCTGAGGTGGGAGGATCACTTCGAGGCTGCAGCAAGGTTTGATTGCATCACTGTACTCCAGCCTGGGCAACAGAGCAGGACACTGTCTCTAAAAAATTTTAAAACAAAACCAGTTATACTAAAAAAAGTCAAAGCCCTGACTTGGTGACTCCCTTTCCTACCACCCGCCCTAGGATGTAAAGCATGTCCTTACAACAGGGGGCTACATATACCCAACACACTTGTTCCAGACCTGTCTACACAGCAGGTGTGTACTGCACATGAAAGGCTGGTATACTTCTCAGCAAAATCAATGAGAAGGACGATTGTACCTGTGTTTATCTTTCTATTCTGCTTTGATTGGAACTCAGTTCATTCATTTGATGCTGGTTTTCTAGGCTCAGATCATTTTTACCTGTAAATAGTTTAAATTAAGAAAACACTATGGCTAAAAACAACTAATAATTACTCAAGACGAGGACGAATTCAAGAACTTGTCTCACCTTATCATGCCTGGAAGTTAGTTCGTTGTTACTGGTGACATATACAGAGGGCGCCAAAAAATGTATACACACTTTAAGTAAGAAAAAAATGTGTTAAAATTGTAATGCTCAATATATACTGATAACAAAAGATGAATATAAGTCGCATTTGACTTCTGCAGTTATAAGAGGTACTCAGAGTGCATACCACCAGCATCCAGACACTTAGACGGTGAGCTAAAAGTAATACATAGATAACATCGCTTAAAATGTGTATACGGCTGGGCACGGTGGCTCATGCCTGTCCTCCCAGCATTTTGAGAGGCGGAGGCGAGAGAATTACCTGAGCACAAGTGTTCGAGACCAGCATGGGAAACTTGGCAAGACCTTGTCTCTACAATAAATAAAAAAATTAGCTAGGTATGGTGGCGTGTGCCTGTGGATCCAGCTACTTGGAAGGCTGAGGTGGAAGGATTACCTGAGCACAGCAGGCCAAGGCTGCAGTGGCTGTGAACATGCCACAGCATTCCAGTCTGGGCAACAGAGTGAGACTCTGACTCAAACAAACAAACAAAAAACATGTATACATTTTTTTGGCACCCTGGTATTTCCCTCCAATCCATTCTTTGTAATTCATTTTTCCAAAGAGGTGATTTATGGCTAAACAAGTGAAGAGAAACACCTTCTTGGTGGAACTGACCAGAACTCTGATCTTGTGAAAACATGATGTCATTTCTCTGCTCCCATGACAGCTCCGTCTTGTGAGCCGGCCCTCTTTGCCTGTACCAGCTGTGGGAATTGGCACAGTTCACCTGCAGCAGCACGAAGATGTCCTCACCAAGACCTTCGCTTGATGGTGACTTCTGGTGAAATCCTATTTTCCTGTAAGAAAACTGCCTTAAAAAGGAAGACCTGCTTCTTCTTCTCTGTCCCCTCCTGTTAGGTCACTTGGAAAGACTGTATTTCTCTAACGGGTTGGGATTAACGCGCACAATTTAATCTGGAATTGGTGAAATAGCCAGGGGAAGCAGTTATTAATACCTAAGTGTGATCAATACATCCATCCTTGAAAGTACGCTAGTGTTAGGCTTTGGGTAGATCTGAGTTAGAAAACTAGGTCATCGTCTAGATGATTTCAGACTTGAATTAACCAGATATGACCAGGAAACACTTCTTTTTTTTTTTTTTTTTTGAGTTGGAGTCTCACTCCAACCCGGGCTGGAGGGCAGTGGCACATTCCCAGCCACTACAGCCTCGACCTGCTGGGCTCAGGCGATCCTTCTGCCTCAGCCTTCCAAGTAGCTGGAACTACAGGTGTGCGCCACCACGCTCGGCTAATTTTTGATTTATTATAGAGACGAGGTCTCGAACCCTTGGGCTCAGGCAGTCTTCTCACCTCGGTCTCCCAAAGTGCTGGAATTATAGGTGTGAACCACTGCACTCAGCCTAGAAAACACTTCTGAGTTTACAGCTACATGGAGGTGACTTCAATACTGCCTCTTGATCTGTTTGATGTATGTCGCTTTCATTAATTTTTCCCCTTCCTTTTTCCAAGTCCTGTGACTACTAATATTTTCACTTTATGTAATCTCTGGTGCTGGTTTCCAGCTACTGTACAGAACGTTTCACCAAACATTAGCAAATCTAGGTCTTGTTAAGTACAAATCTGGCAGGGCGTGGTGGCTCATGCCTGTAATCCCAACACTTTGGGAGACAGAGGTGGGACGAATGCTTGAGTCTCGAAATTCAAGACCAGCCTGGGCAACATAGTAAGATCTAGTTGCTACTAATAAATGAAAAACTTAGCTGGGTATGGTGGTGTGTGCCTGTTGTCCCAGCTACTTGAGAGGCCGAGGTGGAAGGATCGCCTGAGCCTTGGAGGTTGAGGCTGCAGTGAATCATGATTGTGCTACCACACTGCAGCCGGTGACAGAGTGAGACTCTGACTCAAAAACTAAAAATAAAAAGATACACATCTCTGGGTATATGATCTTCTAGCACTGTATCTTTTAAATTAATGAGTGTTGGCTTTAATGAAATTGATCTGTGGTCTATTGTGCCATGATATACTTTCTTGAATTGTGCTTGCAGTGGTAATTTACTATTTTTAACTGACATGGGTGTGTGATGTGGGGATCTCAGCACCTGGTTGATCAATCTTCCCTCTACAAGCCCTTGGCGCAATATTTGTGGTATTTAAAGGGCATATTAACAGAGGGACCTTCTTAATGCCAAGTGCTTGGGGGCATTTTTTAGAGGACACCAACCAACTCCTTTCATCTGAAATGAAACCTCGAACCGGAAGCATAACAAACCAGCCAACTATGTAACCTCACTCGACTTGGTAATGTGGATCCCGTGCTGTCTACCTTCTTGTGTCATGACACTGTTTTTCTCAAGTGATAGGAGACTCCCGGGGGGCTGGTGCAAGCCACACCCTCTCCACTTGACAGACAATTGTTCATCAGTCGTGCCTTTCAGAATCCATGTACATAGCTGTTGTGGCCGCAACAGCAGATCTGTGATTCCCATCTTACATGTGTGCGTGAGTGTACTGATTGCCCATTTCTGTAGTATTCCAGTCCCTCTTCTTCCCACATACCTCAGTCCCTTCCTGTGCCAAGTCTTATCAATCATGTTATTGAGGGCCACTCATGGAAATCAGTAAGATCACAAAGATCTATATGAGAGGTGATTCCCCCCCAAAAAACCTGGGATTATCTTTTGGAGGCTGAGCCCCTTGTAATACAGGCTTCCCCTACTAGATGAGTGTCCTAGGAGCCAATCGGCATCAGTGTACCAGCCAGCTTTGTTGTGAGAGGCTTCAGCGAATTGTATTTTGGAGATTCTTTCAGTGCATTTGCCTGTTTCATACTGGGTGATTTGCATGAACAACCTGCCCGCACTGCACTGAGTGTTCATCAGTTTCTGACCAAAAGCAGCGTGACCCTCCCTGTTCACCTGATCTCACTCCAAGCAACGTTTTTTTTTTTTTGTTTCCCTGGATGAAAAAAATCCTCAAAGGGAGCCGGGCTCGGTGGCTCAGCCTGTAATCCCACACCTTTGGGAGGCTGAGGTGAGTGGATTGCCCGAGCCCGCAGGTTCGAGACCCTCCTGGGCAGCGAGACCTCATCTCTACAATAAATCAAAAAATCAGCTGGGCATGGTAGCACGCGCCTGTAATTCCGGCTACTCGGAAGGCTGAGGCGGAAGGATCGCCGGAGCCCAGCAGGTCGAGGCTGCGGTGGCCGGGAGTGGCCACTGCACTCCAGTTCTGGGCGACTGAGTGAGACTTCCAACTCAAAAAAAAAAAAAAAATCCTCAAAGGGGAATGTTTTGCCAATGTGGAAGAGGTGAAACAAAAAACGGCAGAAGCACTAAAAGGCATCCAAATGGACGAGTTCGGAAACTGTTTTGAGCAGTGGAAAAAGCGTCTCAATAGTGTATTGTATCAAATGGAGAGTACTTTGGAGGTGACTGAAGTTTAAACATGGAAGAATAAGTACACAATGTTTTATAAATAAATTCCAGTTTTTTTGGGTCCCCCTCGTATAATGAAAATGATGATCAATGTTGTATATTTAATTTTTATTTAAAAAAAATAAAAGGACAATGTCAATTTTTCCCCTGCTGTTCTCTTGGGTGTCTTGAATTAAGAGATTTCAAAAGCCTAAGCACAAAATGAGATGGAAGATCAGATTTTTATCAAAGTTTATTTTTAGATCTCATCAAGTTTTGAATATTCCACCTCGCAAGTCTGTTTCTGATTTCTTTTTATGTCTTCTCCAGCTTGACCCATGAAGTGTGTCTTCTATTATCTATCTTAGCTTTTCCATTTTCAATCACTACTGCAGCATGGGCCAGCATTTTTAATGACCTTGCAGGAAGGGACCATTTGAAGAATTCCAAATCAAATACTCATTACTTTATTTCTCTGAAAAACGTAGTAATGTGATATTTGGATTCCATTTATATTTATTATCTATATTTATCTATGCCAATTTCATGTTCAGTGAAGAATAAAGCCTCAATTGGGTACTCAGTGAGTGGAGACAACACCAATCATGGAAGAAGTTAAATTTGTCGAATATGATATTATTCTTTTTTTTTTTTTTGAGTTGGAGTCTCACTCGGTCGCCCAGACTGGAGTGCAGTGGCCGCTCCCGGCCACCGCAGCCTCGACCTGCTGGGCTCCAGCGATCCTTCTGCCTCAGCCTTCCGAGTTGCTGGAACTACAGGCGCGCACTACCACGCCTGGCTAATTTTTGATTTATTGTAGAGAGGACATCTCGCCTGCCCAGGCGGGTCTCGACCCCGCGGGCTCAGACCATCCACTCACCTCAGCCTCCCAAAGGCGCGGGATGACAGGCTGAGCCACCGAGCCCGGCTGACACTATTCTTAATAAAATAAAATTTTCCTTGTAAAATTTTGCTATTTTGCTCAGCTATCCTATGTTTCTCATACATATGCTGTTTGGGGAAAGTGTTCTGAAGCATAGACTTTTAAAATATAACTGTATTGCCTCTAAAGTCTTATAATTTTTAAATATTCCATGCCAGGTGTGTTGGCTCATGCCTGTCATTCCAGGAATTTGAGACCAACCTGGGCAATATAGCGAGGAAGTATCTACAAACAATTTTTAAAGGTAGCCAGGCGTGTTGTTGCTTGTTTGTGATCCCAGATGCTTGGCAGGCTGAGGCAGAAGGATGGCCTGAGCCCAGGAGGTCGAGGCTACAGTGAGTCGTGATTGCGCCATTGCACCCCAGCCTGGGGAAGAGAGTGAGACGCTGACTCAAAAAAAAAAAAAAAAGTCCTTGAGAATGGAAACAGCATCCCTCTTACAAAGTTGAGGAAATAAGGATTGCACAGGAAGGAACTCACAGATTCAGAGTCAAGTCTTTTGGGTATTGAGATTTCAGAAGATTCACCTACATTTTTCTTGTATTTCAATATTTGGTTTTCTTTTTCTTTTTTTTTCTTGAGTTGGAGTCTCACTCTGTCGCCCAGACTGGAGTGCAGTGGCCACTCCCGGTCCCCGCAGCCTCGACCTGCCGGGCTCCGTCGATCCTTCCGCCTCAGCCTTCCAAGTAGCCGGAGTTACAGGCGCGCGCTACCATGCCCGGCTAATTTTTTGATTTATTGTAGAGATGAGGTCTTGTCTGCCCAGGCAGGTCTCGAACCCGCGGGCTCAGGCAATCCACTCACCTCAGCCTCCCAAAGGTGCGGGATGACAGACTGAGCCACTGAGCCCGGCTTGATTTTCTTTTTTTTGTCAGAGTCTCACTCTGTCACCCAGGCTGGAGTGCTGTGGTACACTCACAGCCACCACAGCCTCGACCTACTGGGCTCAGGTGATCCTTCCACCTCAGCCTCCCAAGTAGCTGGGACTACAGGCACGTGCCAACACACCCAGCTAATTTTTTGATTTGTTGTAGAGATGAGGTCTCACCAAGTTGTCCACCAAGTTGTCCAGGTCTCACCAAGTTGTTCAAACTCGTGGGCTCAGGCAATCCTCTCGCCTCCACCTCCGCCTCCCAAAGTGCTGGGATTAAAGGCATGAGCCACCGCACCCAGTGAATATTTGTTTTTCATCTTCATTTTCTCATAGAATCCAAGCTAAAGCTATCATGTTTTGGGGCAATTTGAACAAAATGTGTAAATCCTCAATACTTATAACACCCTAGTAAAGAAAATGTGGTGTACAAGGTCCGACAATTAATTTCACGGATTCATCCTATATACCTCATTGCTGAATATCACTGTGGTCACCTTCGAAGTACTCCCCTTGGGAAGCTATACACTGATATCAGCGCCTAGTCCACCCATCAAAGCAATTGTGGAACTCTTTTTCTGGAATGGCCATCAGAGCGGTCATTGTTATTTATTTATTTATTTATTTTGAGTTGGAGTCTCACTCTGTCGCCCAGACTGGAGTGCAGTGGCCGCTCCCGGTCACCGCAGCCTCGACCTGCTGGGCTCCGGCCATCCTTCCGCCTCAGCCTTCCAAGTAGCTGGAACTACAGGCGAGCATTACCACGCCCGGCTAATTTTTGATTTATTGTAGAGATGAGGTCTCGCCAAGTTACCCAGGCGGGTAGCGAACCCGCGGGCTCAGGCAATCCCCTCACCTCAGCCTCCCAAGGTGCGAGATTACAGGCTGAGCCACCGAGCCCGGCTTAAACTTTTTTTAAAAAGGAAAATAAATGTGAGGGGCTGGTATATGCCAGTCTCTGAGTTTAGTTACCTTTCACACTCTTAGCAAGTGGGTGTTATGGTCCTTATTTTACAGTGATTGCACAACACAGTTAATTGCCCACAGCCATTCCGAAGCAGAGGGATGGCTGATTTCTAAGACGGTGTTTTCTCTTACACTGGGACCCAGGACGGTGTCTTCTCTTACACCAGGGTGTCCAAGAAGGGATCATGCAGATGACATTAGCCACTCAGGGGGAGAAAACTGGCTCCAGGAAACAGCTCAACAAGGAGGCATAAGATCCTGATTTGTGGACTTCGGAGAAGATGAAGATGGAGAAGCAGCGTTAGTAGCAGACGGGGAAAGGAATGCATAAGCTTTTTTTTTTCTTTAAGAGACAGGGTGTCTGTCAGCCAACTGGAGTCAGAGGCGCAATTGTCGCTGACTGCAGCCTCGAGCTCCTAGGCTCAAGTGGTCCTCCAGCCTCAGACTTCTGAATAGCTGGGACTAGTTGGGAATACAAGCGCGCACCATCACGCAGGGCTAATTTTTAAAATTTTTAGTAGAGATGGTCGTGAACTCCGGGCCTCAAGGAATCCTCCCGCTTCGGCCTCCCAAGACGCCGGGACTACAGGCGTGAGCCACCGCACCGGCCTCATAAGCAACTGCAGGCAACGTGCCATACACTTTTGCCAGCGTCCAAGAGATTCTAGTAAATGGAAGCAAAATAAAAGGGTTGGTTTGGTCGCGTCAGTTCTTAGCAGCCCAGCCGCAGGCCTCGGGGACGGAACTCGGGCCCGGTCAGGATCGCCGGGCCTGGGTCAGACCTGGCGGGCTGCTTTTCCACTCTGAGCCCCGAAGCCCGCCGCGGAGGGGAAAGCCGGGACCTCCCGGCCCGGGCGAGGCGCTCCACGCCCGCTGCCCGCCGAGACACGCCCACAGGCGCGG